CCCCGCTGCGCTTGGTAGCATTCGTAGTCATTCTACGGCCGAGTCGTTACGACAAATCTTCTATGAGAATGGAGGAATACTCCTATATGCCCCGGGGCATGCAGGGCAGGCTTAAAACCCTGATTTTCCTGCTGGGCCCTGAGGGTGTGGACCTCCTCGTTGCGCAAGGGTTCGAGGCCATAAGCGCGTTCCTAGAGGCGTTTCAAATTATGAATTACTCTGTTAGAGCGCTACCAGCAGAAGCTTTCAGCGTCGACAGCGTCTATGACGCCACCGTTGACGACGGATATTTTTTACGACCCAGCATGCTCGTGGTGAGCGCTAAGACCTTCGAGGGTAAGAATGGAGAGAATTTCCTTTTTTGGATGGGAGAGGCCGAGATGGCTATGGCATCCGCCATGCGCCAAAACGAGCAACAGCGCGTAGCGCTAACTATCCCCAAGCTCGAGGGCCGGGTGCGAGAATAGACACTATCGTGCGGTGCTTTGGATGAAGCTGCGTCCTTCTCCTGGAAGAAGCTAAAGCGACAGCATTTGCAAGTGTTCTCGCCGCTAAATGAGGCATACCGCGTCGGATCGCATTGTTTTGATGCCCCGAAGGAGTTGTTGGACTTTTTCAAAGAGTTGAAAACTCTCATTGCCGGGATGGCAGCAGATCCTCTCCCCGATGCGGTAGCAGTGACCGTCTCTATTGAGGGCCTCCGAACTGGCGTTTGCAGAATGAAGTCTTCCGTGTGCATCCGTCTATTTTTGAAGAAGCGGTGAACGTGGCATTTAATGCCTGAATTTCAACTTTAAGTCGGCACGACTTCGAATGGACATCCTTAGAACTCGTCGAGCGGGTCTGAGCCAACGGATCTCAGCTAAGCTTAGAAGGAGGTGAGAGAGCTCCGAGCTGCTGAGCATCATGTGGACCGGTTCCAAAGAACCAAAAGGACTTGCGCAAGTGGCTTGGTCTCGCCAACTAGTTGCACAAGTATAGCGCTAATTATGCAAAAATGGTACGGCTATTGTCCAATCTCCTTTAGAGGGATACGGAATGGTGTTGGGACACCGAGCATCGGGAGGCTTTTGACAGGGTCAAGGACAGCATACTTTATGCATCAATACTGGCGTTGCAAAACCCCGATCGTCCTCTTAGTGTCGTCCTTAACGCTTCGGACCTTGCTATCGGCTGCGCACTGCTGCAAGTACACGCCGAGGGGCGAGATCGGTTGATTGCGCTCGAAATTCGCCAGCTTAAGGCTGCGGAGAGGAACTACCTAATCCACTACAAGAAACTACCTGCAATTTAGTATACACTTGTCAAGTTCAAAGTGCACCTGCTTGGCTCAAAGCCGTTTGTGATCTACACAGATCATTTACCCTCACGCACTGCAACTCAGTCGCCTCTACTCCCGTAGAGGATAGCCAGGTGGCTCTTATTCTTTGCAGAATATGACTTCGAGGTGAAATATAAGCCAGCTGCGGCTGATGCGTTGTCACGCAAACCGGACTATGAGCTTGCTTATGTCACGACGGTGACGTCGTCAGTAACGGGTTTGATCCACGCCGTATACACGGGTGATGGTGTGTGTGGAGCGCTGCTACAGGCTCTCAAAAGCGAGAGGTTTATTATTTCGGACAAGAAATTGTCGGCGCGTTTGCACGCACGATTACAACGATATTCATTGAGTAACGGGTGTTTGCATTAAGCACCGACTCACGAATTCGCCACGAATTGTGGTTCCTCACGATGCGGGTTCAAATATCATTCCTTTATGAAGCCCACGACACCCCACGTATGGTCATCTCGGTCGTGAGAAGACGTACAACTCGGTGAGGTGCCACTATTGGTGGCCAAAGCTGTACAAGTTGACGAGCACATATGTGCGCAGGTGTAAGACGTGTCAGAGATAAAAACCTCTTCGAATGCGGCGGCGCCGCTGGCCAGTCAACCGGAACCCTCCGGATGTTGGCAGACCATGAGTTTGAACTTTGTGTTTGGCCTGCCGAAGGACTCAGCGGGTAACACGAGTGTGGTGGTTTTTGCGAATCGTTTGAGCATCATGGTTCATCTTGCGATTGTGCCGGCCACCATCGACGACGTCGGTACAGCGACGCTGTTTGTCGATCGTGTCTTCGACAACATGGACTGCCATAGTTAATAGAAACCCACGTTCCACCGACAAGTTTTCGCCCACAATCTTCTGGATGCTGGGCGCAGAGTTGACAATGTTCACAGCGGACCATCCGTCTGAGGATCGTCAAACTGAGCCCGTGAATTGCGTGGTTGGAGACGTTTTCCGCAGCGTCTGCGCAGAGACGCCAAACCGCTGGAGCGTCATGCTGCCACTTGTAGTGTGCGGTGTGAACAATGCAGTGCATGCATCTACTGGCTACACGCCGTACTACGTGAACAAACTCGTTCATCCTCGCGTCCCGCTGACGCCGCCATCCCATGGCCCAAGGCTTGGTGGGGGAGAAATAGCCGAACGGCGCGCTGATGTCAACCCCCTCCCTATCCGTTAAGAAGTCGATGACTGCCTGTCTACCAAACTGAGTGTCCTACGGACGGTTTGTGGCTGAAAGCCAAGACATGCAGAAAGAATATGCAGACGGAAGAAGCAGAAGTAATGTTAAAGCCTTAAGGTCGGAGACCTGCTTTTATCAAATGCCCAAAAAAATTGTCTCAGCTGTAAAAAGACAAAGCACCATTCACGGTTCATTGGACCCTTTAAGATCGTGGCCAAGCGAGGGCTGGCGTATACGCTGAACCTTCCGAGAAGGACGCGCAACTACCCGGCGTTTTATCTGGGCTTGCTTAAGCTGTACCGGATTTCCGCGCAAAAGAACGCGAAAGTTGCACCGGGGCGGCACCCAAGGGCGCTCGGCCACCCAGAAGTTGAACCCGCGACTAGTTTTGAGCCCTGAGTGTATTAACTTCTGTTTTTAACGGCGCAAGGCGCTCCACGGTGACACTAAGTGAAGTATTCGCCTATTCAACGGCTAGGAGCCGTTCCAATAGAGCACGATAATCCTCAACGCGAGGCAGTCGGCGCACAAAGTTCACCAGACTTTCAAGGTCTTCCTCCCAGCGGTAGGCGACCTCGGAGAGATGCTCCGCGGAGTGCCGATTCCGACGGACTTTTTCCTCCAATGCTCGAAGAGCATTGCGAGTCACCGGACGGTGATCGACCAAGTCGTTAATACCACTTACCCCGGAAGCCGAGGTGTCGGGGAACGGACATGGTGTCTTCGAGGTTTGAGCTCGGCTCACGTCGCGCCGTTGGCGCACTTCAATCCATACTGGGAAAGGGGTATCCGACTCGTAGTCAACTTCCTCCGAATCCTCGACGAGGAAAATCGTCACCCGGGGCAAGCGTGGTGTGTGGCGCTCGGTTGTCGAGGGCTTGGGGTGTGCTTTCGTGAAACCGCGGGCATACTGTCCGGAGATATATTCAGTGCAGAAGAAGAAGAGGGCTTTGACCACGGGCGCCCTCGCTACCAGCTAGGCTGGGTGTTTTGTTGCGAGTTGTAGACACAGTCCTCGTAGAGTGGAGAAGGACATACGTTGTTCTTATGAATGTCAATGTGTCTCGGACACGCGAGCCTCTTATAAGGCGACCGTTAAATGTGAATTGAGGATATTCACAGCTTTAATTGGGGAGAGTGTAACGGGGTTACACATATCTTTGTAAGAATGGGCGGGTCACGCAGGATTGTGCGACCTTACATTAGTTGATATTACACTGTTACATGAAATCACACAGTAGTGTGGCTGCATCGTAACAAGAAGCCACCACGTGGCAGGATTGCCAGTGATAATGCATATTACTATATCGATTAGATTTTTGCTATATAAATTACGTATTTCTATATTAATTAGGTATTACTATATAAATTAGGTACTACTATATTGATTAGGTAACTTCAGAGTTTTTTATGTTGGCGGCTCTGCCGCAACTAAAACAATTAAGCCCAGCTTCGTTTTTGAGCAAAAATATATGATTGCCTTAGTAAGGCGTTAGTACTTAGAAGTAGCGGATTGCGATCCGCTACCCTTTTACTGGTTCGTGGAAAGACCGTAAAGTCGGTGACCTTAGCTTAGCTTTCTCTAAGCAAAGAGCTACGTCAACCACGCTGCACAGTTGATATATTTCTCGCTGCGATGAGATGCATCTTTGTGAACATGCATTAGAATGTAACCATGGCATCATCCTTTATTAAATCGGACATTGTGCCAGGAGAAACTCTCGTTACCTCCCGCCTCCACCTCGCTGTAAGCAAAAACCATCTGCTCGCATTTTGAGTCATAAACGTTCAATGACGCTCGTTGCCTAGAAATCGGCCGAGCAGTCACAAGATGGCCTGACGATGAGAGTGTTGCGAGCTAACGCTTTAGCTATTTCTACTAATAAACGTCCGCCACACACGCGAAAATCAATATACTCTCATGTTACTATCTTCATCTTCGATAAATCACTTGAAAAATAATTATACGACGAAAAAGATGCTTACAGATAAATGTCAAACTAAAGTATGTGCAAAGGTGCGCTTCATGTCATAATTGTTGTACTGATTCGTAAACTTTGGTGTAAAGTGTAACTTTCCACCTTATTTACGTTGGTTCTGTACATGGCCCTTTCCCATGTATAAATATAATGGATTTCTTGGCATAATCCCCTTCCCAGGAAACAGGAGGCGGTTTAGCGTTAAGCAGCATCCCTAATCGTTCCACTATACGATAGACAAAAATGTATTAATTTCATTATAATGCTAGGAAGAACTCATACACCATTTAGTTAGACAATTACTGTGCAGGATATATATTAATAATCATGTACGGGCGTAATTCAAATAATGAGTATTCAGCCAGCCAGCTGATGGGCACATGTTGCGATTCTTTACCTTTTCGCTCAAGGTTTAGACAAGCTAAGTCCACTAGTGTACGGAGACACCAGATTGCACACACACTGTATTAGTGTGAGATGGTCAGTCGCTGCACATTTGATGATGTGCAATATCAAAGGTCAGTCATCGGTAGCATCATCCAACGAGATCAGACTAGGATCTCACGCTATCTTTGTCAATTGCGTCCTCGCCACAAGCCCACTATTTTCAGTGCCAGTGAAAGGTAAAGACTCTTTGACTATAGTGGTAATTATTAGCTTGGCGCATCAGACACCTACCCATCGACATCCAGTGTAGCGCAACCTAAGCACGAGAGCCGCAACAAACGCATCAGCGGCTCTATTTGCCTGGAAGTACATTCCATAGGGGCACGTGAAAGTCTCGAAACTTCCGTTCACGACGATGGACGAGCTCCACGATGCCATTCAAGATGCGCAGTACATTGGCGCAGTGACCAACTCACAGCGCGGACCAAGTGCAGCATTTTACAATCCGACATCTCATGAATTGAGTCAGTTTGTAGAACGACAAGAACGTGCGCTTGGCAGCAACTGGCTCGATCTCGAAAATTTGCTGGATATGCCACTGGGTTTTTACTTTTTTCGGCGATTCTGTGAGGCAGAGCAGCTTGGAAGTCGAAAACTGGATTTCCTTGTTGAGGTCACGAAGTTTCGCTTATTGCAAACTTCAGAACAACGCTTTGGAAAAGCGAGAGAGATATGGGATATTTTCTTTGAAAACTCAACTTCAGGGGCTTTACGTTCCACATCAAGACAGAGACGAAGTACTGTTACGATATGGTCGCCAGCCTCAAGAGCAGAACGTCGACGGCACCCACCCTCATCGTCACCCGTTTCGGCCACAACTTCGACGTCAGCAGTAACTGAAATATCCCCGTCGGCAGCGGAGAAAATGGCAGCCATTAATTTGCACAGTTCTCCTGATGTTCGCCGTAGTCCAACTCGAATGTCTCTTGGCTGTCTAGAGGAATTGAATGTTGCTTCCAGAACGACAAATGGAATTGTGTTCTGGCGCAAGAGTGAATCCAAGGTCATGCAATCAGATGTACGCAGCATGTTTTATACCGTGTCGACTGACGTTCAACCTCTAGGTATTGGCGGTGATGTGGTGCAGCGATTATGTACTATTTTAAAGCGCAAGCATTTGGATTCCAACCGTCGAGATTCATTTAATTGTGTGCGGGATGGCAGTCTGACAAGAGCTACAAGCCCTACAGCTAGTACTGCATCCACAATTGAGCTCCATGATCTTGGAATCGACTCGCGCTCAGAAAGCTCAATTTCGAAGAATTTAAGCGAGAAACGATTGATCGCGGATTCAAGAAATTGTGCGCTCACTTTATTCGATGAGTTGGAAGGTTGCGTGCTCTGTAGCTTAGAGCACGACCATTTGAAAACTTTCAAAGCGTCTCCATATTACAAGCGATTGATTGTGTTTTTATTTTTACAAAAGCGACGAGTAAGTGAGGAAGACTTTACAGCGCTTCGTGTATTAGGCCGTGGTGGCTTTGGAATGGTGCATGGGTGCATTAAGCGAACGTCTGCATCTTTGTACGCAATGAAAGTGATGAACAAGAAAATGATTAAGAAAAAGCGTGCAGAGAAGTTGTGTCTTGCTGAGCGAAAGATCCTCGCAATGCTCTCCTCTCCGTTTGTTGTATGTCTAAAGTACTCCTTTCAAACACCCGAGGAGCTTTTTTTGGTGCTTGATTTAAAGACTGGTGGAGATTTGTCCTTTCATCTTAATCGTGCTAGATTTTCCGAGACACAAGTGCGTTTTTGGGCGGCACAAATATTGCTAGGTATTCAACATTTGCATGAGAAGAACATTGTATACCGCGACCTCAAACCAGAAAATATTTTACTGGACGAGAAAGGTAATTGTAGCATTTCTGACCTTGGTCTAGCTGTCGAGGTGACGCCAACATTGACCGGCAGGTGTGGAACTCGAGGGTACTGGGCACCGGAAATGCTGCTACGTGATGAAAATGGCAATCGAATAGTGTACAATCAAACAGTAGATTGGTGGAGCTATGGGTGTTTAATCTATGAACTTTTGTACGGTAAATGCCCTTTTCGGACATCAAGAGCTAAGGCTCTTCATGAAGATAAACAACAGGCATATGATAAGGCTACACTGGAGTTAACTCCTGTTTACGATTCCAAGTACTTCTCACCAGATGCAGCAGAGCTTATCCAGAGTAAGTTTTGCAATATGGATTTATCATGGCTGAATAGCTGACGAACCTGTAATGTCGATTGTCGTGTGTAGACTTGCTGATTCGTGACGCGTCAAAACGACTAGGGGCAAAAGGAGCAGAGGAGATCAAGCGTATGCGATTTTTTTCTTCCATTAATTGGGATCAGATGGAATTAATGCAAGTGCCACCACCTTTCGTACCAGACAATGAGATCAATGCGGCGTCTCAAGCAGACATTGGTTTATTTGACATAGCGAATGTAAAGGGCATCAAGTTATCTGAGCAGGAACAGGCTGCATATAGCGGGTGGGACTATGTCTGCCCTGATACCTTTCATCGTGAAGCAGTTGAGTACCTTGTGTGGGAAAGCAAGAATGGCCCATGTACTATCGGAGCTAATCACAATTCGTGCTGTTTAATTTCATAACAATGCGTACAAGCTCAGTGCGGTTGTTTTATGGAGTAGTGATATTACACGTCGGCATCTCGTCCATCAGACGTGGTTATTAGTGATACTATTTTAATGTCTATATTATCTTAAAGGTCAGTATCAATTTTTTTGTAACTTCAAGCGTTGTCGTCTATCTTACCATGTTCTCTAAGCCTTTGCAACGCTTCTCTTCAATAGTCACCAAGCATGCGTATGTCTCACTTGTATTTCACCTGATTAATTGATGTATTTCTTACTACATTATTGGTTTGACCCTAGCAGCAATCCGCAGACTCGTTCTATCGGTTTCTTGTCGACGTTACCAGAGGAGCACATTATGCTGCGCGACATGTGTCGACAATACGCCGCCAAGACACTGAAGCCTATCGCAGGAGAGCTGGATCAAAATCATAAATACCCAGCTCAACAGGTCAAGGAACTTGGTGAAATGGGGTTAATGGGCGTCGCTATTGGCGATAAATATGGAGGTGCAGGCCTCGATTACTTGGCTTATTCGATCGCTATGGAGGAGATAAGTCGAGGGTGTGCATCAACAGGCGTCATTATGTCGGTGAATAACGTAAGTTTGCAGATCTTTTTCATGCTTATGCTTTTTAGAAGTTTGATCTCGTTCAATGGTCATGTAGTCGCTATACTGTGCCCCATTAGAAAAGTTTGGAACGCCTGAGCAAAAGGAACAACATCTAACACCTTATGCCAGCGGTGAGAAGTTGGGCTGCTTTGGACTCAGTGAACCAGGAAATGGCAGCGATGCAGGAGCGGCTTCGACGACCGCACGTGTCACTGACAAAGGATATGTCCTAAATGGCACCAAGGCATGGATCACGAACGCCCACGACGCTGACCAAGCCATTGTGTTTGCTACAACGAACAAGTCGCTTAAGCACAAAGGTATTAGCGCATTTCTTGTTCCGACTAATATACCTGGCTTCTCACTGGGAAAAAAGGAGGATAAACTTGGCATTCGCGCGTCTAGCACGGGAAATCTCATTTTTGAAGACGTTGAAATCCCAAAAGAAAACATAATTGGTAAGGAAGGAGATGGTTTTAAGATTGCTATGGTTACGCTGGACTCTGGCCGTATTGGCATCGCCTCTCAGGCCCTGGGAATTGCCCAAGCGTCGTATGATTGCGCTATCGCATACGCACAGACCCGCAAGGCATTCGGCATACCTCTAGCCAAGAACCCAGTAATACAAACTAAATTATCGACGATGGCGACAGAAATTGAAGCTGCGCGGTTGTTGACGTGGAAAGCGGCAGCGGAGAAGGACGCGGGCAGACCGTTTACGAAGCTCGCAGCCATGGCAAAGCTCAAGGCGTCAGAGGCTGCTACATTCTGCTCTCATCAAGCCATCCAAGTACTCGGTGGTATGGGCTACGTATCGGAGATGCCTGCTGAGCGCCACTACCGCGATGCTCGCATCACAGAGATTTATGAGGGCACATCCGAGATCATGCACCTTGTCATTGCCGGTGCTCTTAATAAGGAATTCAACGAGATTAATTAGATCTTATTCAATGATACGATCTATTCAACAATACGTCGTATTAAATCCACCAAAATAATGCATATTTTTTTTCGCCAAAAGTTACATCGAAATATGACGCAGCAAAATGTCCGTCAGATGCTGGATGCTGCTGCACTGGAGTCATACATTCATTCGAAGCTCGGCGCATTCCATGGTACTATCGCGTCTATCTATCAATTTCAGTACGGGCAGTCGAATCCTACGTATCTTTTGACGATGGCCAGCTCAAAAGCCAAGTGGGTGTTGCGAAAGAAGCCACACGGTCAAATCTTGCCTTCAGCGCATGCAGTGGAACGTGAGTACCGCTTACTTAAGGCATTAGAATCCACAGAAGTACCCGTTCCACGCGGCATAGTGCTATGCGAGGATCCAAAAATTATTGGCACCGTATTCTATCTGATGGAATACATACATGGCCGTATTTTTCAGGATCCATCGCTGCCTGATGTTAATTCCATGCATCGCCACGCCATGTATAGCTCTGCAGTTGATGTGCTGGTAAGATTACATGATGTGGATTACACTAAAATAGGACTCGCAGATTTTGGTCGACCTGAAAAATACTGTCACCGTGTAGTGGCTCGCTGGAGTCGTCAGGTTCAAAATGGAATTACGACATCAGCAGACGAAGAAGCAAAAGAAAATGTCAAGATGTCACAATTGCAACAATGGCTGGAAGAACGTGCGGAAGATGCAGAAAAGGCCACAGAAGGTCGAGCAAGTCTTGTGCATGGAGACTTTCGAATCGATAATCTGATTTTTCACGAATCTGAGCCGCGAGTGTTGGCCATATTGGATTGGGAATTGTGCACAATTGGCAATCCGTTTGCAGACGTAGCCACACTTGCACTAGCGTACCGATTTCCTAGGGACTCTTCAAATACCATCATGATTCCTGGATTATCCGATCTACCGTTAACAAGACTGGGGATTCCAAGCGAAAGTGAGCTTTTGCTTGGATATTGTCGACGTGCCAGACGATATCCACTCGCAGCTGAAACTTGGAACTTTTTTATAGGAATGATCGTGTACCGATTCGCTGCCATCTGCCACGGAGTCTACACCCGTGCTCGACAAGGTAATGCGTCGTCATCTAATGCTAAGTATGCAAAGACAACAATGGATCGCTTACTGGATATGAGTGACCACATAATGAACACATCGATTGATATATATCCTGAGCCAAAATTGAAGCAAAAGTTGCCTTTTCCAATCCGGCCGCATGCCCTGCAATTATACGAAAAATTGGTAAGGTTCTGCCAAAGCCGTGTGTATCCTGCTGAGAATGTGCACATCTGTCAACTCGCCAAGGCTCGTAAGGAAGGACGCGAATGGAATGTCGTACCTTCGATTTTTGAAGAGCTAAAGAAAGAAGCTAAACTTCTAGGACTTTGGAACCTCTTTTTACCCGAGTGTGTGGTACCCGCACTTGACGGAACTGGACCAGATGTTCATTATGGCGAAGACCTGAGTAATCTTGAGTATGGACTCATGTGTGAGGTTATGGGGCGCTCGATTGTGCTGGCACCGGAAGTGTTTAATTGCTCACCTCCTGATACGGGCAACATGGAGATTCTTACGCGATTTGGCACTGTGACGCAGAAGCATAAGTGGCTCGTGCCTTTGCTACAAGGTGAAATCCGCTCTTGTTTTGCGATGACAGAGAAGCGCGTAGCGTCGTCGGATGCTACGAACATTGAAACAAGCATCCAGCGAGATGAAACGCATGAGGAATATGTGATCAATGGTCGGAAATTTTATATTTCAGGAGCTGGAGATCCACGCTGCAAACTGATAATTGTCATGGGAAAACATATTGAGCGAGCAAATCTGAGCCCTTTTTCACAACAGTCGATGATCTTGGTGCCAATGAACGAACTCGGCGTGCATGTTGTGAAGCCTCTGCACGTGTTTGGTTATGACGACGCACCTCACGGACACATGGAAATCCAATTTACAAATGTTCGTGTGCCATTCAGTAACATCTTGCTTGGCGAAGGTCGTGGATTTGAGATCGCACAGGCGCGTCTTGGACCTGGTCGTATTCACCACTGTATGCGTGTTATTGGTGCTGCAGAGCGCTGTCTTGAAATGATGGTCCAGCGTGTAAAGACTCGGATAGCTTTTAAGCAGCTTTTGGCTGAAAACTCGCTTGTGTGTTCACAGATTGCTAAGTCCCGTTGTGAATTGGACAGCGCACGTTTGTTGACTCTTCAGGCTGCGCATGAAATGGACAAATATGGCAACAAGGATGCTCAGCAGGCTATTGCAATGGCCAAGATTGTGGCACCGAACATGGCGCTAACTTTGTGTGACCGAGCTATTCAGATTTATGGTGCTGCTGGCTTAAGTCAGGATTTCATTCTGGCGTATTTGTACGCGATGTTGCGGACTCTTCGTATTGCTGATGGACCTGATGAAGTGCATATGCGTACAATTGCAAAACTAGAGTTAAGTCGCTCAAAATTATAGATGACTTGAGAGGAATTTGTATTCATATTAATGAGAGGAAAGAATAGTGTGCAGGGTAGGTTCTGACGAATTTAGCAATGGAGATGTCGTTTCACGTCCACTTTGTGCATCCTCACGCTTCGATAAGCGTTCTCAAATTACTTGCCTTACCAAGAATTTAGCAACGCAACACACGTTGCGCAAGGCCCTAACACTCTACGAAGTTCCTAGTTCGAATCAAGGCAGCCGGAGATAGGTCATCAAACTGGACGATCAATCATGCATAAAAAGTGTGACTGCTCTGCCGTACCCGAAGGGGGGGGGTGATATTTGGGTAGGGTATGGCCCCACTGATCAAATAAACACAATAGTGTAATGAGGGTACGGAGCCTGGTGTCGAATAGCTACCGGCATTCCGCGCTGTAGAAAGCAGCGTGTGGGTGATAGTTGTATAAATCCTTTTGTGATCTGGCGACATTTTCATGATGACGTACGACATACATGGTTGGGGCGACGCGAAAGCGCACATTAAGCCGAAACGGCTATATCTTACCTGTACATGGCAATGAAAAATTCTTACCCTTCATTCTCTGTGAGTATTGCAGTAACGATGGCTCAGGGTGCAACGACGAATAATGTACGCAGATAACGGACGGCTAAAATCTTGTTCTCTGCAGCGGGGCTGCCGTAGCTTTGCGCTTGAGGAAGCGTAATTTAGGTCACCGACCTTTCGTTCTTTACTAGAACAAGTGTAGCGAATT